CTCATCTTCCTCATGTCCTCATCCTGCCAAATATGCTTCAATCTTTATACTATCAAAGTCAAGCTCATTTTCAGTTGCTTAAAGTGCTCACATTATTCTTTTTTATTTATACTAAACGATTTGTTTGCAATTGTTACTATTAAAAAATATTGCAATTAATTACTTTAAAAAAAAGCTTCTAAAATACTTTCAAGAATTTATCTGAGGTGTTTGTGGATACATGTTTTTTTTGTTAGAAATACAAAAAGTGGGACGCACAATTTGCAAATTAAGAAACATATTTTGATACATAAGTATTTTAGATCCATATTGGAACCATATGTGAGCAACATACTGAATAAAGGCACAATAAAAACATACTAAACACTGTATTCATACTAAATACTCCAGGTAACAACCTTCATATTAGCATATGTCATGAAAAGATTGTTATTAGCATTATTATTGTTAAACACTTTTCCAGTGTTGACAGAGAAAAAGATCCTGTTTCACTAAAAAAAGACTGAAAAACTGACTGAAGACCTTTGGGAAATTCTCTCATTGTAAAAGTAATACAATCGAGACAATAAGGGCGGAAAAGATTAAAAAACAAACCACAATTATATTATACTCCAGGCAAACCAAATAAACTTGTGCTGTGTTAAAGTACTTTGCGGTAATATTCTTTTTAAGTAAGACTTGCACTGCACAGTTGCTGTAAATTATGGGGAAACTCCATAAAAATGGCCCATAGCTTTCAGTCATGACTTCCTGGCTGACACCATCATGGAGAAAAGCGTGTGGTTTTTTTAAACCATTTCATGAGCCGGTGCACTATTGATGTGGTGCACTTACAACATGAAACATGTAGATAAATCATCCCTCCATGATTTTCTTTCATGAAAGATTTTATACTTTAGGTTTTAATTCTGACTCAGCCTCTTTGGTGCCCTGCCTTTTCAAAGGGAAAAAACTATCATGGTAAAAACATGCTTGCTTCTACAAAAAAAAAAGAAACCCATTTCGTGATTCATACACAACAGAGATGATGATGTTGAAAACCAACAATTCTAAATGTTGCTCTCGATTGTGAAAAGAACAAAATAAATAGTTTAACACTAAATTGATCTCTTCAACCCTAAATAACAACATTAGTCACAAAATATGTGTGTAAATTGACTATTCCCCTAGAAAACTACTTTATCAGTAAATCACAATATATTTCTCATCCTAGCAATAATAAATATAGAAACGAGCCTTAAATGAGGAGTGCATCATAAAAAAATACAGTGCTAAGACAGTCTGAAGTCCTCTGTATGAATTTATAACACTGTAAAAAGCAGCAATCAATTTGGAGTTGTGGTGCTCATTGTCATATAAATCATGTCACCTAGCATATAGTGGCACATCAGCACAAGGTTAGACAACGTAATTAACTGTGAGGCACCCAGGGAGCTGCTGTGTCAAATCGGCACGCTACTTCTACATACACCTTGTATCCAGAAACACTTCATCACTCAAGGGAGAGCATGTGAGCAATTAAAAAGTGATGATTCACTTGCAAACACAACCTGGAGGACTGATATGAGAGCACAGATGTACCGTAGCACAATCATTATGAAACAAGATGCATATTTAATTGGAGAGAAGTAAAACTGTGTATCACTGACAACTATTTCGAATGTTAAAAGATGCGAGAGAATTTACCATCACTGACCATCCAGCATTTGGTACGGGTCCACATGAAAGGGTGGACCCGTGAGCCATATTTCCTTATTTAGAAACACATCAATCATTTTCAGATGACAAAGATGCTATTCTGATAACTAGAATGGGCTGTGCCTACAGCACTAAAATACTTCATTGTCCAAATTAAGTTGACAATACTTAGGTAAAACCTTTTAAAAATAGGAAAGCTAATTATACACAGTAATGAGTAAAAGTGTGGGTTTCAGACTGGCAACCAGCCTGGTGAATGAAGTTGTGGAAAGTCTAGAAATGTGGCCAAAATAAACTAAATTGAACGGGATAACACCTATGTACACCAAACAGGGGAAATATGTAGCTGTAGTTTACAATTATTAATGGTAAATAGGTAAAGAATAAAGTAAATACATAAATAAGAGGTTAACAAAATCCTTTAGGCAACATGTATGGACAGCACCACCAAAAATAAAACAAGGAAAAAAGATTGGCCCAAAAATGAACTGTTTTATGTCTTAGGTTTTATGGTCAGATGAAATGGATCTGTGCTGGATCGCTATGGACACGAGGGACCCTTCAAGTCAGTTGCCATCAAGTCTGCGAAGAAACAGAAGTGGACTGGTAATGAATTTTTAAAAGGTGACATAATGGGTGTTGAGTTTTCACTCACTTGTAATGTGAACTTGAAGTGAACTACAGAAATTTAGCTTCAAATAGAAAACACACAAAAGGCTTGTGTCCATCACCGGGCGGTGATTTAGGCTGCAATGGACTGCAAACTGACGGGGAAGAGCAAAACGGTGCAACCAAATAAAGTCCTATCTGTTGTCGGTAACTTCACATATGTGTTACCATGCGGTGGGCTGAAAATCCCATTAGTGGATTGGTCCAATTGAATTGAATTGAATTGAAATGTTCATATACGGACAATCATCTCCTTCCAGAGGATGATGCGTTTCTAAAAGGAAACGTGGATTTTATATCTATTTTCTTATGCCCATCCATTGTCTATGCGACAGTTATAAATACTCAGGAAAACAAAATAAACAGCATTAGGTGTTGAATAAACAGCTCCAACATTTATTTGGGGATACATTGGGGGAAATGTTAATAATTTTCTTACATTCCATTTTTTAAAAATCTATCTCAGAAGCTTTCATCTTAAAAAACACAAAAACAAAACAAACCAGCTCCCAGACCTGCCGCAGGTTTCTTGAAGACAATCAATGATAAGAACTCGGAGACATTCAAAGTTTCAAACGGGACTAACTCTAGAGGTCTCTGTTCTGTAAAGAACTTCTGACCTCATCCCTTTCCTCACTTTCCATAAGCCCACGGAGACCTGATGGGCCCTTCAAAGACAGGATATACATTGTAAGTGAAGAGAAAACCCCACTTTAAACAGCTTTTGAAATGGGGCTGCGGCTTCAAGAAACCTTACTGTAAGCAAACACTGACAGGATAGAAAGCTCGTATTAATCTGGCCATATTTTCAAAGGACGAACATCTATTTTACTTGCATATGAAAATAATTACATCAGAGTGAGCACCAAATTACTATCTAAATAATATACCAGAACCAATAAGTTCACTGGCTGCTCAATTTTCCCAAAATGCTAATCGATGTGATGGCTACTAAAGTTATACAGTAAATCCTGTCACGCAAGACTAATGCTACTTCATCATAAGAAAACAAACTAACAGAAAAAGTTATTGCTTCATTAGCAGTGTGGTGACATATGGTATGTTCCTCACGGCTAGGAACAATGAATGTGCATTATACAAACCCAAAGCCTGTCTCAACTAGAAACCAGCGTTGCCAACTTTTTGGCACCAGACTCTCAGACAACTTTACAGGCCCCTTTTCTCGTGCACTCAAAAACAAATTTGCAACATTGCAGCAGTAGAAGATACTTGAGGGACAAGCTAGTGCAGCACCGTGCAGAAGGCAGCAGCACTATGGGCAAAGCAAATCATTCAACCATATGAGAGCGGAACCAAAAATGTAATCAGTCTATTTTCTTTTTCAATGGATGCTGCTCAGAATAACCTCACCGAGTCTCTAGCAGCAATGTGGCTGACTGCATCCATTCTGTCGATACTCAAACAAGCCTGTTACTGCACTTTCAGGGTTATAACTGTATAACTAGGGCTTGTGCTCAAACTGTTCAGTTCCAGGAAAACATTTGGTTAAACCTGACACTGGGTGAATGCAAAGATGGTTACTAATTCTTTATTTTTTTGTTTACTTGTGTTTTTCTGCTGGTCCATACAATGTTCTTGAATCATATTTAGTTATTAGAGCAGCTTCAATATAAGCCATTAAGACTTAAAAAAAAGACACAGGTCAGATTTTCTATCTTAGCACAGTTTCAGAGTTTTAGTTTCATTTAATACAGACAGCTGAACCTTTGATGTTATCATTCAGGGGCACTTTATTAAGTTTGTAACCTCCAGAAATGGTTCTAGAAGCCTTACCACTACCTGTAGGTCTACTTGAAGAGGCATTTAACATGAAGAGCCTGGATACTATTTATGATAAAGTACGTAGCCATGACATGAAAATGATTACAACTTACATTACAGTAACACGTGCCGTTTAGAAATCCCAAGTGTATCAGGCCTTTTTTGCCATGTTGCTTTGTTAAGCTGCACAACTTCAATTTGAGTTCAGTCATGAATCTGTATTTGTATCATTTGAGTCATAAATTTAATAAAAAAAACAAATAAAAACATTTTCACAGTGAGCAAACTCACCTGCATGTAAAGTTCGATCCCTCCCCATCCAGACACGTGGCTCCATTGAAACACAGCGAGACATTAAAAGGACCTTCACTGCAAACATCTATATCATTTTCACAAGTCTTTCCTGTGTAGCCGTCCTGACAGAAGCATGCATATTTATCAATAAGATCCACGCATGAGCCTCCGTTCAGGCAGGGACTGCAAGCACAGTCCTGCAAATGAAAAGAGACCAAACATCAATGAGTGAGGCACTGTAACAACAGTCTGAAACATTCAGAAATTTACCCTCAACATTACCTTTTTATAGTGTATCTATCAACATCTGGAAAAACAAAACTGAAGTTTAAAGTGAGTTGCCAGAAATTCAAATCTGATCTATTTATTCACTGAACATTGTGCTCGCAGAGACTTTGTGAGCAGTTTG